AATTGGATAACAGATGCCAAACTCAAGAGACTGATGGCTGCAAGGAGGACAATGGATGGGATGGAATGAAATGGAAAGGGACACACAAGGGACTTCTTACACTGTGCTGGATATGTGGGAAGATCATTGTATTTTTTTCCATAGTTTACATTTTAGAATAGATTTTTAATATGCATTATGATGAACGTGATTTTTAAAAACCATTCGTGAATTACAGACCAAATCCTTAGTCCTGATTGCAGCTTTTATTAGCACACTGGCTTTAGATATCTTGTTTAATCCTTCTGTGTCTCAGTTTCCTCTTCTGTGAAATGGGGAAGAATGTAAATATGAAGGGAAAATAAGAAAAGCCAAAGCCACAAATGCATTTCTAAGGACTCATTATTCTCCCTGGGAACATGCTTGTCTCAGAGCCTAGAGATGATATCCTAAGAAACATGTATTCACTCTGCTGAATTCCAGCACTCAGAGGTTCACTCTCTCATGCCAGCTCGTGTTAACATCCTTTTCCCAGCAATTTTGGCAATCTGAAACCTTTGTTCTTTCTCTAAAGTAGGGTGGCTGTGGGAATAAAGGCAGAGGAACTACTAGTCACGTAGACCTCAGGAGGAAGAGTGGGGCCCTGGGAGAGAGTAAAAAAAGATGTAAGTGTTCTCTTTCAGGATGCCAAGTCTTCTCCACAGGTACCACTGGGCAGCAGACTATGCCTGGTTTGCACCACCTATCCACTCTAATGGATGCGTTTAAGTGTTCTGTGGTCATGAAAAGCACTTCCCCTGAACCTTTTTGTTTGTGCTGGAAATAGGAATGGATCCCCCTTGGTACCAGTGTGCCACATGACAAATCGAGAGTCAACTGACAAGCGAAACCTCTGCGCTCCACTCAGTTTTGATGAGAGTTTCTAACTCTTTGCAGCAGCAAGCGGTTGGTTTGGTAATCTTCCCTGAGGCTTTTTGGATGCAGAATGCTGATGAGACAAAAATGGGTGCGTCTTGGGTACTTCCTTCCACCATATGAAGCTCAGTTCCTGTCTTTCATGAAGAGGTACTTTCTATTAAACATAGAGGGTGGAAGTCGGGAGCATATGGCCAGGATCTGCCAACCAGAGCGTTCGTGCTCTCATTAATACCTCATTAATTAATTAATATCACTCATTAATACTGTCAGAGTTAGTATTACAAGAAACCATTAACACGAGTCCAGCAGCACAAGAAACCGTCAATGATTCATTTCTTGGGGAATATGTATTCATCTATTTGTTTGTTTATTGATTTAGAAACAGGGTGTCATGCAGCCCAGGCTGGCTTTCAACTCTTTCTGTAGCTGAGTATGACCTTGAACTCCTGATCCTCCTGTCTCCACCTACCTTGTGTTAGAATTACAGGTGTGTGCCACCATACCTGGCATTTAAGTAGACAGTTGTGTCTACAAAATAGAAAAGAATTTTTAAATCTTTATTTAAAGATTTTTTTTTTAAATTTGTGTGTGCGCATGCCTACATACTTGCATGAGAACTGTGTGCATGCATAGTCAGAGAACATAGGTGCCAGATTCCCTGAAGCTAGATTACAGGCAGCTTAAACTTGGGTACTTTGCAATAGCATTAAGTGTCCTTAGCTGTCAAGTTATCTCTCCAGTCCAAAAAGAACTTTTTTTTTTTTTTAACAAAGCATCCATAACCCTGAGAGACCTCCCCAGACACAGTTGATTGTATGGTCCATTCTGTCTCATCAGCATCCAAAAGTCCTGAAGAAAAACACCATCCCAAACATTTGCCATTGCAAAAGTTAGAAATGCCAGTCAAAACCGCCTGGAGCACAAAGTAGCTGTCCAATTTTGTCAGATGAGTCCAGCTTTGCTGTGTGGCACACACGTCTATCCACTATAGGTCTCCAATGCCACTCTCAGCATGTACTTTTGACCAGACCTCTGGTCTTTATCTGAAGGATCTTGGGTTTAAAAATTATACAGACTTGCTGGTCTGTTTTGTTTTTCCGTCTTGTGGCTTTTGTTGTTGGGTTTTGTTGTTGTTGTTTTAGGGTATCTTATTCTGTAGCCTATGCTGGTCTGGGACTCACTATGTAGTCCAAGCTGGCTTCAAAATTGAGGCTGTCCTCCTAAACCAGCCTCCAGGGTGCTGTCACGAGTCAGAACATGCACCTTTAAAAATATATCCAACCCTTAGAACAATTTTGGATATGAGTAGACAATAGAGAGTTGTAGAGGACACAGGTGAACAAATATACTCCATTGCCAGTCTGTGCCAGTAAGTGTCCTTGTTCCAGCATCCAGCACTGGTCCAACAGAGGAAACCTGTGTTGCCTGCCATATGTCCCTTGTGAAACAGGGAAAACAAAGAAGTGCAATACTTTCTGAATACCCACATTTGCAAATGAAAGATAAGTGGTATTATTTCAAATGAATCAATATAAAATTATCTCATAAGTTTTCTTGTTGCTTTCATTAATATGCTATAAAATCTACCTAATTAAAAAAATAATATTTTATGAGGGGTGACCAGGTCTTCAAGACTAGCAATGTATTTCACATCCTCATTATGAATTTGAAGCAAGAGCTCCAAGGCCTCAAATGGCCAGTAGTGACATATTGGGCAGTCCCACTTTAAAGAGTGAGATAGATAGTAAACAAACAAACAAGGGCAGGGAGGGAAGGCCTAAGGAATTGACAATAACTGAATAGTTTAAAAGACTTAAAAGCAGGAACCTGACAAGTACCTGTGCTTTGGATGCTGAAAACAGAAATTGTTTGTTTAGCCCAGTTCTAGCCTTACTTCATCACATCTGTATTTGAGCGATCAAGGAGATTCTAAAATCATATTGTAAATTAACAATACCTTTGCTCTGGCTGCTCTCCTTCCTGATAAGGTCTAACCTGACCCTTTGGGGCCATGGAGCTCTTCAAGTCTCATAAACCAGATACACCAAAGACTCAGAAAAAAACAGGCAAACCCCGGCAGCCAGCTCACAGGAACGGCATCGAGCGGGTATCCATTCCCTTTGCCTGCATTCCAGATAAGCTAACACGGAACATTTTCCTGAAGTTCGTGGATGGGCTCCTCAGTGAGTTCTTTGATCCTCCAACTCAGCAGAAAGCCTGGGACCTCCACTACCATCAAGGATGAGAAGCTCTGTCAGTGGCAGATGGCTCTGACACTTTATAATGTGTTAGCAAAGAATGGAGGCACTGTGAAACCCCCTCTTGCTAGAGAGCCAACCATGATGTTGTCTCAAGACGGGTGAAATCCAAACCATATTGTTTTCTGAGAGAGGATCCCACGGCGTCAACCTCATGATGCAGCTGAAGATGTCTTTGTCAGGATGTCTTTCTGCCTTCACCCCACGTTTGCTGGGATCATGGGCATGTGCCAACAAGACCAGTGATTTTTTTAATCCCCTCCCAATCCAATCAAGGTATTTTAAGAATTATTTTAGTATTTTATTTTTGTGGGTGTTTTCCCTGCATGTATGTGTGTGTATCATATGCATGCAGTACCCATGGAAAGCAGAAGACGTGTTGGAAGTCACCCACACTCAGGAAGGGGTCTTCCAACCTTAGTTAATTCTCTCTGGGCTCCCTCACAGATGTTCCCACAGTGTGGTTTTGAAATCTACTGTGGCCTTCTTAGACCAGTCAAGTGGCAATGAGTATTTCTTTGGATAAGACTGCCTCTCATTGATTTGATACTCATGCGTCTCCTCAAACTGCCCCTGCCCCTCAATTGCTCATTCTTATTTAATAAAGCAAAATGCACCCAATTCATTGCCAAGGACTCCCTAAGTCTTTACAGCGTCAACATGATTCAGAAATCCAAGCCCAACATTTCCTCCTCCCAATCACTGGAAATACAGGGTAGTGCCACCAAGCCAGGCCAGATCCTTTTTTTTTTTTTTTTTTGAGTTATAATCCTGGGGTTCTGGGGAACACAATCAGGAACGCTGCTCAGAGAAGGTGACATAGAATCCTAAGTTTAGGGAGGTGTCAAGGCATCACGGGAGCCACCACATATGTTGCTAATGCTGGAGCCTGTAACCATGGATGCAGGGGTGTACTTCAGGCCTTCGTACCTGACTGCTTTGGGCTAACGTTTTCTAAAAAAAAAAAAAAAAAAAAATCATCCTAAGAAAAGATCTTCAACGATGTATTATTTTGAACACACCGAGTGGTACACCAATTGAAGAATCTCCCCTTTACTTACTTCATAGACAGCAAACACGGTTAACCACACCCTAGCCTAACTTCTGTGCTGTGCCTTTCATTAGATTTTGAGGTTGAGGAAAAAAAAAATTATTATGTCTTTATCACGGAAAAGAACTTATTTTCTGGAAATGATCTCGAATGTCCTGAGGTAGACCCAGGGAGACAGAAGGGAGAAGCAGCAACTGTGGATACATCATTGGACGGCAGCTTCTCCAATGCAAGTCACCTGTTTAATGGAGGCCTCACAGGCCTGGCTGCTTTTCCCTTTGAGTCCACCAGGATGGGTAATCCTGACTGTCAAACTGATAGGATTCAATCTCTGCATATGGCTGGGAGGGTGCTTCCGGAGAGCTTCCACTGGAAAGACCCACTCTGAATGTGGGTGGACTCGCTCCATGGGTTTCAGTCCTGGACTGAATAGAGAAGAGGAAGTGAGCAGGACACCAACACTCATCTCTGTTTTGGGACTTCAGATGCAATGTGAACAGGCACCTTCTGCTCTTGTCATCATGTGTTCCCTATCATGGTGCACTGCATTGCACCTTCCGACTGTGAGCCAAAGCAAGACCCTTTCTTTCCCCTCAAGTTGCATAGTTGCAATATTTTATCATAGCAACAAGGAAAGTCAGCACTGGCTTCACCAATCATCTGGGTCCTCCACACCTTCAACCCCATACTATCCTTGAGGTGCTTGGGTGGGAGACTCTCCCTGGGTCTAGGAGGGATCTCCACGTCTTCCTGGAGATATCCCTGCTCCTCACTTGGGACTCCATGACGCTTACCTTCACAGAGGTGAAGCTTTGCTTCTTCCTTGCTTTCAAAATTGGGAAGGTTGTCAAACTGCATTTCCTTGACTTGTTCGCATCCATTGGAATCCTGCAGGAGAGAGAGCGAAAAATAAAAAGTTGGTTCTGGGCATGGAAGGATATGTCTGTAATGCCAGCACTAGATCTAAGGAAAGAGGATCTCAAGTTCTAGGCTACTCTGAGCTACATAGAAAGACCCTGTCTCAAAGATGGTGGAGGAGGAGGTAGTGGTGGTGGTGAGAGTGATGGTGGTGGTAACGGTGGTAATGGTGGTGGTGGTGGTAAAGCAACAATAGCAAGGTGGAAATATGGATAAAATACAAATAAAGGCCATCATACTTGGGAAAAAGAAAGAGGGAAAGCTGATGTCCTGTCACCGTTCTTGTGCCATCCTCATTCACAACACAACTCGGTGAATAACTAACTTGCTACAAGATAAAAGAACTTATACATGGTTATGGAATCTAAACAGAGTTGTGCTATGTTAGTGGAAGGCAAGTCATAGGGGACTCTGGGGACATTTTCAGTTCTTGTTAGCTGTGGAGTACTCTTGAAATTTTGTCCCCTGATGTTCCTCTGCAGCCACCAGCTCTGGCAAGAGCAAATGGAATTTGAAAAATACAAGAAACGGGGCCAGAATGGGGTTCAGTGCGAAGTCATTATAGTTGTTAGCTTTTGCAGACATTATCGCCAATCAGTAATGGCAACACCATGGTTTTTTTTCAATTATTCACAGAATTGAAGACAAGCCAGGCACACATTTATTGAGGAATTATATATCAGAAAACAAGATCTCATTTTCCCTAGCCAATGGGAAGTTTAAAATGTGACGTGAATGCTTTATGAAATCTGATAGTTTTAAAATGAGGTTGGCCTTCCTATGCAAACTGAGTAAAACCAGCAGAACTGTATGCAATAGGGTTCCATATTTGTCTAATAAAATTACAGTGTTAACATCTCAATACAGGCATCCAATAGAAGCTAGAAGAAGAGAAGTGTTAAAACAAAACAAACAAACAAAAACAAAAACCTCCCTTCAAGGAGTAGAAATGGAGAGTTGAGAAAAAATTTCTTAAGTATGCCATCTTTGCTAAGCATCATGGTATATGTGCTTGTTATCCTGGAACTTGGGGGATAGAATAGAAAGATGGCAAGTTTAAGGCCAGCCTCAAATATGCTAGGGGGTCTCAACACACAGCACAAATAACACTGACTCAAATAATTCTCTTCAGTCTCTCAAGCAGCTGGGACAACAGGATCACGTCATTGTTTCTAGCTACAGGACACATACGCACACATACACATACTGTGCACATGATGATAATAATAGCAATAATAATGATAATAATAATAGGAATAAACTATGTGAAAGTCAGCAAAAAACAAATTGATTCTCTGTTATCATTAGTTTCCTTCTTTCTTCTATATTTTGTAGAAACATTTGCTGAGGAAGTTCTACCGAAAATCTAGCTATACTCTTTGCCCCTAAGGCAAACTCTTGGTGCAGGAGAGGAGATGGAACAAATAATGTCAGCAGTGTGTGCAGAGTGCACAGGCACTCTCTTGGCAATTTTGGGAACAAGCAAAAGAAGCTTATTCTAAGTACTACCGTTTTATTTTCAAGCTCTATTTAATCATAGAAAGGAATTAAGTTCAAGGTCCCAGGCCCTAGGGAAATAGTTTTCTGAGTCCAGACAACTCGGGGACAGTTTGTAAGGAGATAGTTGTCTGAGTCCAGCCATCTCAAGGACAATTTCTCCATCTTGCTGACAAGGTCAACTAAGTTCATGTTCTTAGGCCCAGGGACCAACTCCTATCCTGATTGATGGAAACTCTGTTGTTCAACCCCTAATATAAAAACATGGTTGAACAATGCTACAGCCCATCCTGCTCCCCCTTGTTTTATGGTTTCATTCTTTAAATATGCTATACAATATCCTTTCAGGGTCATAGTTCAGCTCCCAACTCTGTTCTGCAGTCATGATTGATCAGTAGTGGCTTGATTACAATACATTTTTTATCACCTGCATTGACCTGGTGTTTGAGTTATGTTGGATTTAAATGGAGCCCATGACAGTGGTGAGAGGTCTAGCTGGGAGAGCAGAGGCAGGCTTCCAGAAGAACACAGTAGAACATCCTTGAAGAACAAGCATAGAAGACAGAGTCAAGGGCAGATGAGCAAGGCACACAGAGACCAAAGTATGAAGGAACATTTGCTGTCTTTTCCGGGAGTTTCAAGCAGTCCTGAGACATCCTGAAGGGCTATGTAGGTGAAGGTTCACATAGCCCAGGTTAGTCTTATGGTCTGTGTGGTCTCTTTACACCTGGACTGACATGATCGCTCTGTGTTTTAAAACCATTTCATGGCAATGCCATGGGGCACTGCTTGGAGGAACCTGGTTAAGAAGCCATTCCGTGAACTTATTGAGAAACAGAGGGGCTCAGCCAAGGCAGGGACACAGGGGACATTTGGACTAGGAAATAAACTGAGAGATGGCTTTCAACTGGATGTAGCATTGGTCAGCTCTCAACACTGGGGAGAAATAAAGCTTCTCTTGTCAAGGCCCTGTACCACATCCTCCTTTGTCTACTTCACAAGGAAAGTGGATGCTGCAAAATACATCATTCATACAGCTGGGACTTTTTCTTCTCTTTCCCTTCCCTGGCAGATGAAGGTAGAGTCAGACCAATGCCTGCACATGATGCTGAAGGACCTTGGAGCCGCATCAGCAAGCTGCCAAGAATCCAGTGAACCACTTGGTCTTCTCTCTGCTCCATTCCCTCATCTGTAAACAGATGAGACCAGACCAGATGAATTCTCAAGGCCCTTCTAGCAATTTTAATTCTAATCCTACAAAACACCGTCAGGCTGAACACACACACACACACACACACACACACACACACAGACAGACACACACACTGGAGTGCTGTGAATTATTCCTAATTTGTCGTCCTTGAACAATTCTGTGTTTACCACAGATTCTGTTTTCATTTATGCATTATCTGGCTTCGAGCAATAACACTTAAGCCTGACTCAAAAACTTGCAAATGCTTTTTAAATCTTGAGAATATGTTGTGAGGGCTAGGGGTGCAGCTCAGTGGTAGAACACATTACAAGGTCCTAGGTGCCTATCAACATACAGTGCACAAAAACTGCAGTGGGTTGCAGAGGAAATGAATTTAAATTACTTAATATTTCCTTTACCTTTTATTACAGGAATGGTTAAAGATAATAAACAGCTCAGAGCTGGAGTAATGATCCTTGTGAAAAATGAATCTAAAGTGAAGATTCACATTCTTTCACATACAGATCAGAATTCCTTCTCTCCCCACAATACTTTTTTTCCTCCTGGATTTAGCGACACTTCCCTATGTGAACTACCTTTGTCACAACTTTAGTGTCACTTAATTTTCCTAGAAAGGTGTTTAAATTTTTGTCTGTTCTTGATCCTGAGTCTTGTAGAACTATGTGTGGTGAGCTGTCCTGTTGGTTTGTTTGTGATTTTAGTTCCTCATGAGGTTGAGCATGGTGATGTGCCTCAGTTTAGATTAATTCATAAAAGAACTTAGAGCATCAACGAAGTACTAACCACTGTGCTATGTATGAAGGAAAAATAATAAAAAATGGATTCCATGGATTCCTTGTTATCAAGAAGTTTGGAATCTGGAAGCCACAAAGATGTCAAGTTCCTGTTGTGTGATATTTTAAACATATGTATCTATGTATAAGGGACACTGATGTCTAAAAGGAAAACATGTCTCTTGAGGTTGCCTGTTGTCATTTTGTTATTTTTACCACAGTCGACAGTGGCTTGATCTTTATGACCTTGAGGTTGTCTTTAGGGCAGATATGGTGGTAGAATAGGGTTAAAGTGACAGATTTAGGGTTACAGTAGAATAGGCTTACACTGACTCTCCTTGCATTTCTTCAAAAAGGAAGCTGATTGTCTAATGTACTTAAGTGACACTCCTGACAAAGCGAACTCAACTCTTCAGACATTCTATACGAGTCCTTGAATCTGTAATGGTCCAGTGATCTAATCATAAGGGCTGGAGGTTTTGGGAAACCCTCTCCCCTCTCCCCTCTCATCTAGAACAAGAGCTTTTAATCTCCCAGACAATCACCTGCCAGTGCTGGAGTGTTCCTGAGACAGCGAGGTTTTCCCCAATAATCCACTTCATGTTCGGCTGTTAATTTACATATGGAGGGTGCTTGTCGACTATTTGTGGGGAGGGCAATTGATATTGCACAAGAGATCCTTCCCACTGCTCCTTGCTATCTTCAGAAAAGCACAAAGAACAAATTTATCCTACTTTCTGTTCAAGAATTCTTGAGTTTTCAGAACATAGAAAACTTAGATTTCTTCTCTGTGCCTACTCCACCCCGGACACCCTGTGGGGATTTTGCCCAAACGTCTCCTCCCATGATAGAGCATACCACACAAATAACAGGTTGATATTGCACTGTAGTTATTTTACTCTGTTTTCTCCTTCTTCAATGATCTCTCCTTATATGGCTACCATTTCCAGTAGTATTGTGTTCTTGTCATCACTAGGTCAGCCAATGTCTGTTAGATCCCTTTAATGGTCCTAGTGATTTGACAAAAACAGCCCACACTAGCCTTTTTTTTTTTACCTTTTTAGCTGGTCACACCAAACTTTCACGGGGTTAGGGTCAGCTTAAACCATAATTCACTGCCCCAGAATCCTCCACATTTGAGAAGCATGCACTTAACTCAGGCAATATGGAGTTGGAGAGGGCAAAGTCAGAGGAATGGTTGGCATACTGTGAGATATGCCTTCGGGTTTCCATTTTCTTGGGTAAAGACTGACATAAAGAAGGCTTAAATCCCAGAACCAGTAAGGCATGGCTCAGAATCTCCCTCTGTAGCCCAGGCTGGTCCAACACTTGCTATGTTGCTGTGTTGACCAGGCTGGTCTCAAACTTAACTCCCCGTCCCCCTGCTTCTCAGCCTCTTGACTCTGAGATTACAGGCACGGGCCATGTCTGAAGATTCCTTAGAATTCCACCACCCCTTTCTCACCCTAATTCAAGACAAAGGAGTTGAATATGAAAACATGAGATGTTTCCAGTTTTGAATCCTACATCCAAAGTGTCAGTTAAGATGGAGGAAGCTGATTTAAACAAAACAAACAAACAAAAACGTATCCGAAAGAATAAATTTTCCTAAGCCCCATGTGACCTGAATATTTCTGACTGTAAATGCTCAGAGGGTGTGTAACCACCACCTTTAAAATAAACAATATAGCCAGTATTGGGGATTTTCCTGCAGTGCAGGCAAGCACCAGTGAGGAAAGTTGATCTCCACACATGATACACCCACTTCCTCAGGACAGTCTTGTGTGCAAAGGGCTGAGCTGTGTGTTTTTGCGTGTTCTCTGTCTGTAGTGTGAGCGAGGAGTGAGTGAGTGAGTGTGTGTGTTTATGTGTGCGTGAGACAATGACACCCATGTGCAGTGACAGGGACAAAGTGGAAAAAGAAAGGCTTCATGCCCCCCGTTGCAGGAATCAGAATCCCACCGCCTCCCTTCCAGCGCTCAGCTGGAGTCCCTAACACACGGTTCCATCAGTAGGAGAGTCAGATGCCCATGGGCGCTCAGCTGGTAAGGCCTAAAATTGCTCTCCTTCGCGCACCCGGCCCAGCCCTTGCTCGTACTTCCCTTCCCCCTCTCCACTTGCCCCACGAGGACCCAGCCCTAGCTGGCCCAGGGTTTGCGCCCATCACAAGCCTCTTCTCCCTGGTGCTTACTCTGTCCCGGTGAGGGCAGGAAGTGGGAGGAGCAGCAGCATCAGGCTGTCACAGACAGGGACGCTGCAGAGGTTTAGGAGGAGCCCTCAGCCCAGCGCATGGAGGGCCACACCCTCCTCCCGTTGCCGTAGAAACAGCTCAAGCCCTTTTTGTGACTCTGAGATGAACAGGCTTAGCCCAGTCAAGGCCCAAGCCATCTTTCACAGAAGCCAAAAGAACAAAGCTCTCCCAACCTCATTTTCTCTTGCCCCAGTTCACGGATAAGCCAAGATGTGAGTGAAATTCCAGAACTCCAAGATTAAAGTTGGTTGGATCGCCCAGACTGGAAAATTTCCAAGCCCCTTCAGAAACACTATGTGGAAGTAGACAAAAGCCTTGTGAGCATTTAGTCTCTACCAAGTTTCGGAAAGTACCATATGGAATTATAAGTGACAGTGGCTTGTCTTGAAGGGCTCTGCTGCAAGGAGGGGAGACTGAGAAGCAGAGTTGAGTTTGAGTGTTCAAGTCCTTAGCCATTTAGCAAGCAAGTACCTGAAGCAGTCAGTGAAGAACAGTCTGCAGTGTATTTGTGTGGGCTGTAAGCAGGGGGCTGTTGATGCTGACTCAATTAACACGGAGTTTCCCTAGGTAGCCCCGGTTGGCCTGGAACTCACTATGAAGAGCAGGCTGACCTTGAACTGGTGCTGATGCAGCCTCCTCCACTGGGATTGGAGGCGTATGCCTCCACATCCTGTTCGTGGCTGGCTTTATTTGGGAGGTGCTGTGTCAGTAACGCCATGAATTAGCAAGGGAGGGAGTGAAGAGGGACGTGTGAGAGGAAGAACGGGGCAGACGGAAGAGCAGCTTTGGGAAACCGGACGGCGCCCGGATGTGAAGGTGAGTGGACTTGGAATCCTGGAGCTGCACTTGGGCACCTGGGCCGACAGGGGTGCAGGTGACTAACAGAAAGCTGTGTTTGCTACTGTTCTTTTCACCGCAGCAAGGAAATAAAGCCAGCAGTGTCCATCAGCAGATGAGAGGATAAAGATGTGGCACACACACACGCTGGAATTTTATTCAGCACTAAAGAAAGATCGCGCAATATGAAAGACAATGGATGGGGCTGGAAAACTACTTTAGAGAAGGGAGCTCAAAGAGCATGTTTTCTCATGAGGATCCAAGCTTCTGTTACAGTAAATATATGTATCCAGTAGGGAGAGAAAATATGGGTGAAGACCAGGAAAGTAAGAGGCCCATGAGATAGGAAGGAAGGAAGGAAGGAAGGAAGGAAGGAAGGAAGGAAGGAAGGGAGTGAAGATGACAGAATAAAGGGGGTGAGCAAAGTGTAGCCAGGGAGAACAGAGAAAAAAAGGAGAGAAAAAGATCAACTGCAACAAAATATGAACAAAACCCACCTATGGAAACTTATCACTCTGTAAGCCTATTTAAAAAGTAAAACAAATTAATGGCAGGAAAAAAAAAATAAGGCAGGCAGGCCACAGGGCTTGGAAAGAGGTAGAGCTTTGCTCCTCAATCTGTAGGTTGCAACCCCTGTAGGGTCAAACAACCCTTTCAATGAGGCCTCCGAAGACCATCGGAAAGCAGATACTTACAATTCATTAAAGCAGCAAAATTACAGTTGTGAAGTAATAAAAATAATTTTATGGTTAGGGGTCACCACAACACGAAGAACTGCACTGAAGGATCACAGCGTTAGAGGAGCTGAGAACCACTGATCTAGAGACTGAGCAGATTATCAATGGACAAAGCAACAGGTCCTGTGTGACAAGCAAGATGTAGACTAAAGCAGACGTGATACTGTGGCAAGCGGGTAAGAAACATAACAGAAGATGAAAAGGCTGCAGTGGGCAGGGAGGTGCCTGCCTCATGAGCCAAAGGAGTCAACTGTTTTCAGGGTAGGATGATTGGGGTGGGTAAGACTGGATAAAGAAAAGGTATGACCAGGGTTGCAGCTGGTGGTTATTAATGCTTGTAGCCAGGGCGGTTTAAACTTCCTTTGGGGAAAATTTTTATTTAGTGTGTGTCTGAGTATGTATGTATGTATGTACGTATGTTTGTGTGTGTATGCACCACTGGAATGCAGGTGCCCACGCAGTCCTGAAGAGGGTGTTAGAGCTGATGAAGCTGGAGTTACAGGCAGTTTTAGGCCACTGGATGTGGGTGCTGAAAGCCAAGCCAGAGTCCTCTGCAAAAGCAGCAAGTGCTCTTAACCGCTGACTGAGCTGTCTCTCCAGCCTCTGAGGGAACTTTAAAATAGAAAGATACTTATAGTGTGGCTCACAAGAAAAAGCACGTCCCTACAGTGACTATTTAGTATCAGTTAACAATGGTTATTGCTCAAAGCACACAAGTTAACTAGGAGGGTGTGGAGGCACACACGAGGGAGTCTATGGCAGGAGGATCTTGAGTTCAAGGACATGTGGGCTACAGAGAAAGCCTTGTCTCAAAACTGAGAACCAAAGTCACATAGGATGGACGGTGGAGCAGGTAAGGTGGAGATTGATAGTGTATGCATATATACAGAAGAAAATGTACAAAAGCAATGTGCAAATGCTCACTTTAATCATAATTCAAAACTACTTCTCATGGTAACATAGATGTTTCATAGCTGAGAACTAGGTGAGGTGTTGCATTTTATGATAAACTAATTTTTTTTATTAAATAGTGATCAAAAATAGGTTTATATTCTCACCATAAAAAGAATTACTTTTATTGACAATATCTAAGCTTCTTGAAAAGCTGAATTAGCTAATATGACAGGATGACAAGCTGACAGGCAGTCTGTCAACGCTCTGGCTTCATGTAAAGTGATGAAGACACCGCTTCTCCTTGCTTATGCTGACCACAGAAGACTTCTTTTCCTAATCTATAGACACAGGTGGATACATGGTATCAAAGAACACATTTTTAAATCTTTTCACTGTTATTAAAAGTTTAACAATGAAAAGTCCAAAAACTGTTATTAAATTCTATCTGCTGTACAAGAACCAGCTCTTCCCATTCTGCAGTAATCATTTTAATATGTACAAAAGCAGAATTCTCACTAAAAAGCCTACATAGAGACAGCAAGCTTGTATAGTAAACCTAAAGAAACACAGTGATGGGGAAAATTTCAGAAATGCCTCCTGAAGGAGCCCAGGCTGCCCACCCCTTGCCAGACAGAGCCGGGAGTCATAGTAACTACAGACATGCTGCAGAGCCCCCAGTGACGACCTATAGAATGTAAGAAAACACAACACGTTCTTCAGGAGCGGCACAGGGCTCCCGAGAGCCCTTTGCTAAAGGACAGAGGGGCTTTGATGAGGCCGGAATCACAAAACAGGCCGAGGTCCTTCATGCCACCTGTTAAAGGTCCTCCACGTGCTGAAGACGACGACCTGCTTGCAGGGCTGAGGGTCCCGGCTCCTTTCCTGCTACCGCACTTGGCTGCTTGCGGCACTTGGGTGCAAATGCTTAACTGGTGCGAGTCGGGAGAGGCCCAGGCGTAGGCTGTGGCTCGGGGACTTGGTGGGGGCTCCTGCCAGTGCGCTGCCGCTGGAGCTTCTGCTCCCGGAGGCGGCTGCAAGAGAACACAAAGGCGGACAAGAGGTCAGGTACTGCCCGGCTCTGCAGAGCCCATCAACACTGTACCAGATCAGAGGAAAAACCCACGCTGACACTCAGGACAAGGGCAGGGCAGGCTGAGCACTGTAATCTGAAACCCCAACTTCAACTTTTCCGGCTGTGGAGCAAAACCAAGCATGTAAAGTCAAGGACAAGGCTGCCAAGGCTCAAGTGTGCCCAGGCCTGAGGAATCGGTGAAACTGTGGAGGTCAGCAGGTCTTGAGGCTAAACTCTGCTGCGAGTAAAAAATAAATAAATAATGTTCCTTGACTCTGTGATAGTCAGGAATGTGTCCACAGATTTTTGAAATAAGAATGTCTCCATTTACAGCAGTTTTATTTATAGCAATGAAAACAAATCATATATAACCTTGACGCCTAATAAGGAAATGGTAAAGACAATAAAGTGAAGCACTAAAAACAATAATCTGGAAGAATGTGAAATAACCTGAGAACTGCTCACACATAACTCCTGTAGGAAAGAGCTACCAACAGCAGCTTTCTAAGCTCGTGGCCTTGAGAGCAAGTTATCATACCTGGTGGGACCCACTTGGGTCTCCTGCCTTCAGATGAAGGGCTGCACATATTTGCTGGTTTCCTAGTGGCCTCTGAAGAAAGACCAACAGCCTGGGGCAAAGACGGAGATCTTGACTTGCTGGAAGCTGGAGCTGGGTCTGCTGATGTCATGTTTTTGAAAACAAAAAACAACTGTCTTACAGGAAGATAACTTTCAAGTCTAAAGTGATGATGTCTCATGCATTCCAAAAAATTCAAAAGGCAAAGATTACAAATTTGAAAACAACATGTACTGTTCAGGTGAGGTCGCACCGGCCTGAAATCCAGCACTCCACAGGCTAGGGGAGGAGGTCTCATATTCAAAGCCGGCCTAGGCTACAAAGTGAGGTGGTCACGAAAGACCGCACAGAAGTTATAGCAAGCCTAAGGACCACGGCTGTGAATGAGCATTTCTGTGCCAGGCAGGGTTGAAGACATGAATTTCACCCTTTATGACGATTCCCACCTCAGGATCACTGCCCCACTATCAGCTAGGAGAACAGAGAGGTTAAGTTATTTGCCTGCAGTTTGACAGCTGTTGTTGGGAGCCAGGATTAGAAACCACCTTTAGAGCATTTTACAAATAGTGCCCCTTGTGTGTGTGTCAGGGATAGTCCCCAGGGTTATCAAGAACATAGGCGTGAGCACCCTGCTCTCAAGAAACTTACTGTCCTCCACTGCACGTCAGTGCGAGGACAGCAAGGTGAAGGGCTGTGTCTACTGCCATGCGCTGAGATTCTAGCAATGCACAGGAGGAGAGGACCTTAGAACCTCATGTGTGTTTAGGAGGCGCAGAGGAAGATGATTATGGGCTGACCCAAATCATGGCCAAGGGGAAAGGTGAGTGGAGGGAAGTTTTCTGGCACAGACAGTACAGCATGAAAAGCCAGAGCACAAATTCCTTTACCAGTTTAGGAGGAATGGGAAGGAATATGAAGGGTGAGAAGGTGAGGAGTATAATCGGGGTACTGTCATGTACCCACATACAGGCCATGTAAAGGAGTCTGGCTGTTTACAAATATAAGTTTTCTCAGGAGTGACCTCCATGTTAAAAACTTCTTACTGGGTCATGGTGACATCTGCTAGAAGGCTGAAACAGGAGGATTGGGAAACCAAGGCAAAAAATTGTTATAAATTAATAGAATTTGTTACTAAAAGCTGTATTTTATAATAATCTTATTATAAAATATAGGCTCAAAATAGTCTAACTTTTGAGCATCCAAGTCCAAGTTGTGACAAATTCTCAATGTAAAACTGACACTAAGCATGTTACAAATGGGTCCACAAAACAGAGACTAGGTAATGGAGGAAAGCAAGGGTTAAACTCACACAGGCCTCACTGTTTAAACATGCAGACAGCATTGTCCAGCCTCTGCCTGGGATTAAGCTGTGGGCCCCCCTGATGAGTACAGATTCCAGCATATACTGAGATGTTCTGAACATCAGTGTTCTGATGGTAAGATGCAGGTGTGGGGTGTTTGCAGGGATGGCTACATGCTAACAGGGGTCCATACTTAGTGTTCTTGTGGCCACTAGCTCAGCATTCTCTCCCTACCCAGAAATACTTTTAACTAGACATGAGCACTGCCAAAATATTACAGAAGACAAAGGCAAAGATCCAGAAACAACAAACTTGACTCTATCAAACGACAAGACTGGGAGCAGACTTACCTGATGCCTCACATTTGGGTTTGGGTTTTTTTTCTTTCTTTTCTACTGCGGGTTTTTTCTGCATTACTTTCTTCTTTGTTTTTTTCACTTTACTTTTTCTCACAGCACAGTCCTCATCACTTTCTTCATTATCATCAAACTCAGAATCACTTTCTGAATCTCCAAGTAAAACAGAAAATGACAAATTCCATCTTGGTTCTAAAAAGTGAGACTTCTGCTGCCTCATCTGCAATGCCTCACTGTCACTAAGCTGCTGCTTCAAGACCCTTATACATGCTCTTGCCTCTACAGAAGCATGGTTTCTGACCTCAAATGCCAGCTTCTGCTAACCTGAAATAGCACCTCTCCCTTCATTCCCACCAGCCTTTTATAGACAGTGAAGGCCTACCCCATACTTCTGTCTTCTTTGTGGTGCTTTATTTTCTAGTCCTAGAGCTCAGACCCTGGAATCCACACTTGCCAGACAAGCATCCTACCACTGAGCTGCCTGAGGCCCTTGGGTGTGCATGCCATCACTCTAAAACACACTATGCACCTGTTTACTGTCTGAGACCCCTCATTAGCACTTGAATTGTTTCACTCGTTAGTATCTCCCTAGCACCTAGACTATAGTGTACATAAGCATCAAATATTTTTCCAGTAAGTGATGAATAGGTCCGTTATTTGCTGGAAGCATGTTAAAATTTAAAACACTGTATCTGATTGGTATTAATGTACACTTAGTCTTTTAAATTTTTGACACATTACAATATCAAGGTTGCCATAATTTTCCTTTGCCCTAATCTCTATTAAGTCTGAAAATACTAATAATAAAATAATTTAATACCACTTGCAATTCAAAATATTTCATATGATTCTACTAGTTATAGAAAAAGCTGAAACCTGTTAGAACAGGTCAAGAGTTGGTCCACAGGTAGTGGCAGCCCAGCCTGCCTCTTTAGGCTTTGTTTTTTCCAAAGCCAGGTCAGTACCTGGCTCTTGCCGTATTAGTCTTTCCCACTGTTCACGCATTTCCTTCAGAAAGTCAGAAATGTGACTTCATCCCTTTGGTTTTTCTAATGCTGTTTGCTTGGCCAGCCATGGCTTAAAGGTTACCCCTAGACACGGTTTCTCTCTCTATGGCCAAGTTCAGTTTAACTGTTCTATGAGTTCTCAAGTTTACGAACTTCAAAGGCTCAACACAATGCTTTGCATACATCCTGGTCTCCAAGAAGTTTTTACTGAATTCTCATAGAATTGACTTGAAGCAGGATGACTCACCAGTTGCAGTGTCTGGCTCAGTGTCATTCGCAGCGCTGCCATCGCTGCCACCGCCGCCTTCCAAAAGCACCCCCCTCCTCTGAGCCTCAGCGTCAGATGTTGCTGTTCTCTCTCCTTCAACACCGCCGGCCTCCCCCTCCTCCGTGATCTTATCCAAATCTGGAGACATGAACATCAGTGAGAGCTCTGGGCAGACTCTATGACCTCTGTTGTCTTTCTCTGCTGACAATAATACTACCCTAGCCATGCTGGGACCAAGTCTGTCAGTCTCCCAGGAACAGACTCTGGTTTTAAGGGTAAGTCTGAGATCCTAATGAGGTGCTGCCAAAGAACTTTCCAGACGGTCCTGGACAGATGAAGCCCTTTCTTAAGTGGCCACCTATTGTGGAATGGAGGGCCTGAGTAGTCATGACTGCCCAGTAGGGAACAAAGTAGGTCTGCAGTGAGAGAACAAGACTAAACCATAAAGAAACAAGGGCTAGGAGATAGTGAGAACCTTGGGACATGGGAAGACTTTGTTCTAGCTACGGGTGTAGAAACTTGAACAAGTTAGGAGAATAGCACTGCGAATGAAAAGAACTGTTGTTAATACCAAAACTTACCTAAATCATCACTGGCTACACTGCAGTTAGAAACACGAGATTTCTCCGTTATTTCTGTTTTCCTATTGCCTTGTATGTCGGTGCCTAACACAGGAAGTAAGGGAAGAACTTCAGATGCATCCTAATCAGTCAGGGTCTAAAAAACAAGATGACACTGGCACAGCTAAATGAATTAAATTCAGGAGTGCCCTCTGCCATCAAACTGCATTCTTTCCTCTGTGAAGGCCTACCCTAAAAATGATTAGAAAAATATTAAGAAGCTTTTAAAGATAAACACACAGGAAATAGAGTTACTTTTCTCTTGAGACTTCTTCACGTCGTTGCTGAGTGTTGGAAGTTCCTTCACGGATAAAGCCAGAGCAACTTCTAGGCCTCGCTGGAAGACCTTGTCATCTAAAGCCACCCTAAAACAGATTATTCATGAATAAAAATGGGGTTTTAATAACAATTAGAGCACTAACACCATTAACTCTAAAGAGCAAAGTTTCAGATTTCCCCGTATTAGTACATGAGAGCATTTACCTTCCAAACATGTTCCTAAAGCAACCTCGACCGACAGAGACTCCTAAATGCAGCAACGCCATGCTGTAGTATGGCAGCGTAGTGTGGCAGGGGTAGCCTGCACCTCTGCTGGCTCCTGCTCCTGTACCTGTCCTTTCTCTTCACCATCAGCTCTGCCTATGAAGCTCTGGTTTAACCTACGACAGACTCCCTGCCGCCCAGAGATCCCTTGATCTTATTTGTTGCTGTGGCAGATATAACTCTCACAATAAATGTATTTTCACCTCTGTCCCTCCCACTCTAGATTTTAACAAAGATTTCACTACATACTATGTAAAGACACCATTCCTGATTGGAATAATAAAAGTATTCTCAAGGAGTTTTCAATGTGAATTAGGAAGGTGAGGAAATAATAGCAACAATTTCCCCAAAAGAGGTAGATTGCAAGGCCTTCCTGCTCACGTTGACCAATAGTTGTAATGATTATAACAGAAAAACAAACAAAGATGAAGAAAAATAACAAAAGGGAAGAAAACTGAAATGTACCTTGAAGAATTACTTTTTAACTAAGTTTTACTGGTGGGGATAAATGTGGTCTCAATAATTCTCTATATGTATAAATCTATCAAAAATTTTTAAATTTTATTAAGATATAATTCAATGAATTATAAAATAATTTCCTCCTCCTCTTCCTTGAGATAGGGCATCATGTACCTAAATTGCTCCCAAAACTCACTATGCATGCAGCAAAGGATAACCTTGAACTTCTGTGACTGAATAAAACCCAAGATTTCTTGCACAGAAAGCAAATACTACATCCACAGCCCATAAAACCTATTCTTTTAAAGTAGATAATTCAGCAGCCTCTAGTATCTTCAGAGCAGAGAATCACTGCTATCTAATTTTAGAAATTTATTTGCCTAGCCATAGTTATCAGCAGTTACTCCTGGTTACCCTGTGCTGGCTGGTTTGATGTCAACTTGACACATGTTAGAGTCATCTTGGGAGACGGAACCTTAATTGAGAAAATTAAGAAAAATCTGCCTCTAACAGATTGACCTCTGAGTAAGCCTGTGGTACATTTTCTTCATTGGAGTGGGAGGGCCAGCTCACTGTGTGAGGCGTCATCCCTGGGCTGGTAATCCTGGGTACTACAAGAAAGCAGGCCGAGCAACTCACGAAGAGTAAGCCAATAAGCAGCACTCCTCCATGGCCTCTGCATCAGCTCCAGGTTCTTATCCTAACTTTTTAGTGATATACTGTGTTGAATAACTATAAGCTGAACCCTCGCATCCCCATGCTGCTTTTGGCCATGGCATTTTGTCATGGCAGTTGAAACACTAACTGGGACATCATCACCCTCCTCTTAGTCCCAAACAACCAGTAGTCCATTTTCTGTCTGCGTGCATTACTTTAGTCCAGACATTTCATACAAATGGAATATTAGGTAATATGTGGATTTTTGTCTGGTGTAGAAAGCACGACTTTTTTGCAGGCTCATTCACATTACAGCATGTATCTGTAGTTCACTTTTTGTGAGTAATAGTCCATGAAAGAGGACACATTTTTTAACCAATCGTTGGTTGACAGATATCCAGTTGCTTTCCTATTTTTTAATACTATCAACACTGCTATAAACATTGACATGAAGTGGACATATTTTCAGTTTCCTTGGGTATTACCTAAGCCACCCACAGAACGGTCCCATGTTTAACATTATGAAGACTGCTAATCTGTTTTCTTGGATACCTGCACCATTTTACAATCCCACTATCAATGTCTGATGGTTCCCGTTTTGCCAGTTTCACCTATTAACATCACCTAGTAGGTGAGAATAATTATTATACCATGTTTCCCTGAGAGCTAATGATGCTGTGCATCTTTTTATATGCTTGCTAATTACTTCTGTACTTTTGGAAAAATACTTATTCAAATATTTTGTACACTGAAATTAGATCATCAGACTTTCACTGTAGAGCTAAAGTATTCTTTATGTACTTTGGATGCAATTACTTAAGCTGTTTCTGCAAATACTGTTTCCCACTTATGGGTTATGCTTGTCTTATATTTAAAACCCCACCCATGACATTTAAAAATAGAAACAAAGCATGCTGTTTCTCAGTGCTGATTAGCTTTTCACAGAGGAATTCAAGGCAGCAAAACATTAACCATCCCCTGCCCATTCTTTCTGAACTACAATTTTTGGGTTCTTGGGATTGCCTTCTCCCTCTTGGTACCAACTGATGAGAAGTCAGGATTATTCTATATACTATGGGACCTTCTCTTTGTTGGACAAATCACAGCAGGATAGAGAGAAAATATCTTTTCTCTACAGGGGAAAAAATGGTGTAAAGTCTTTTAAAGCTGCCCTTATATTTGCCCTGACTTTTAACAAAGTAGCTTTGTGAGATCTGAAGCAGAAGACATAGGTGCAGGTAAGACATAGTAACATTACTATTTAAAAAGGTTTTAGCTTTTATGTTTGTGAAATTTTTTCTCAGGGCAGAAAGTCAGAAAGCACTTTACAGCATTCCCCTGTGCTTCAAATAGCATCCACCACATCAAACCCCCCATTTAAATCGAGATTTTGAAGTCTTGTATCCTTAAATGAACAAATCTGATGCCACATGTTTTCTGGGTCTTACCTCTCACCTTTTTTTGGGGGGTTTGGTTGGTAAGATGTCTTCCTTTTGGAGATTCTTCAAGTTAGGTTTTGGTTTGTCTTGCTTTAAGTCCTTTGGCACTGTTTTAGATTTTTTGTTTATAGGCATGGTTGCAGAAATAAAATCATCTATTTTGTATAAATTAAAAAGAAAAATAAAATTATTTTCTTGGCAGCTAAAATTCATTAAAGTATACCCACGTTTTAAATATAATCAAGTTTAATTACTATATCATGAAACTCAACCAAGGCAATCTGTCTCTATTTCACTCACCCATTTCAAGATAAATGGTAGCCTGTTTTTTAGAATATTCATCGATCAAAACCAATCCACTGAAAACTACAAGGGTAAATTAGGACAGCACAATTCTACCTTACTGAGTGGGAGGAAATGATTTTTAACTAATGTCGCAGTGCAGCCCAGGCGGTCTGCGAAGGGGCTGCCAGGAAAGATCAAGCCTAGGGAAACCGGAAGCACCGCCTACGGCGCTGTTGCTTTTCCACGTTTTTCTGTCTATAAATCCTCAAGACTCCCGCGGCGCTTCCTGGGATACTAACAACTTTCTGCACACTCCAGCCACCCCGTATCATGAACACAACTGGCAGTCTCTACGAACCTGCTCACACACCTTTGACAGTAATAAGAGGCTAGAAGTTATCTACTATACTATTTTTTTCTCAAGTTGTAGGCATACTGAGTGCAAAAGAGATTTCTCTGAACCAAGAAATCATTAAAGTATTTGACTTAAAGGAAACTATGGTGGTCTGGGAAGGAAATATAAAATGTACTTCTAAGATGAAACTATGGCTCAGTGGCAGAGGACTTACACAGCATGGTCAGTCCCCTGCCTCATCACCAGCAAACAAACAAACACACACACACACACACACACACACACACACACACACACGGAAAAAAATCGTACTACAAATGCATTGTAATCTAATGAAATGTTTCTCAAACTCTGATCAAAGTTCTAACAACAAAGACCAACATATAATCAACACAACAAAGCTTAAAACTTAACCTTTCAGAGTTTAATTTTTCTATAGCTAACTCATATATAGTGAACTTGGAGGAAATAAATTTCTCAATATGTTAAGGCAAAGTAAAAAGCTCTACTTACCATCAGAGTCACTACCAGACTCCTCAAACTGTGAGTAATTGACTATTTTTTTATTTCTATAATCAAGACAAAAAATTTTCATTAATATATTAATTTTTACTTTCACCTTAAAATTATTAATAGTCTTGAAGAAAGGAGCATGTGTTTGGAATCTCTTAAAAGCACTTCAATCCAAAACAATATTTACACTTAACAACAAGAACTTGGCAGTATCTGAAAAGACAAAACCATACCTAATAGACATAATGTGAAAAAGAAATTGATTCAGGAAACCCCAAAAGTGAAGAGAATATAAATCATTAGCGGAAACCCCCAAAGTGAGGAGAATACAAATAATTCTCGAAGTCCTCCAAAGTAAAAATACAAATCACTGTCAGTTAAAATTTGTGTTCTGTTTAGTAGCTACTGAGGATTTATAAACTCCTGTGTGCTCAGGCTTGACTTACATTATAAAGACCTCTTCAGTTTAACCATTAAAAAGAAAAATCTCTCAGAGCCAGAGCCTGCACTGCTCCTTCAGAGGACCTGGATCTGTTTCCTAGCATCCATGCCGGGCAGTCCACAACCAGATGTCACTCCAGCTCCAGAATTAAACACCCACTGGCTTCTTCCTCAGAAACTGAACTCACATGAGTATATCTACACAAACGAAGAAACACACATGCACTCCACCCTAAAAATAAATCTTTAAAAGGAATCTCTCTACAGTAACAAATAATGCTTTTTAGTGGGTTGAACACTTTAAAATAGTTTGTCCTTACCATCTTTGTAGGAACTAGAGTAGGCAGAGAAAAGAATACTCAATGTGAAAAGGTTAATTTCTTTCCTCTAGGAAAGAAATATAAAGCTAGCCAGTTTTCCCTTCTGTCATCTACTATGCCCCATGTAAACAAGCTCATTTATCAGGTGCCTGTTCTTTCAAGCAAAAAAAAAAAAAAAAAAAAAAAAAAAAGGGGTAAAGAGACTTGCTCAGCTCATAATTCAGACTTGCAAGTGTGTTTCCTTGAGATAACAACCATTAAAAGGGAAGGTGTTTCTGTTACTCTCCCACTCTTCAGAGTCTAAGAATTTGACAGCTACATAAAACATGAAAGCATCATTAGAAATTCTGGGATTGAAAATTAGTAAATAAAACCAAAAGCCTACCAAAACACAGGTTAACTCAGGTTGATTTATAACTCACATATTCATTCTTACTGATTCATTAAACACAATTTACCTATTGTACTTTAAAAACTCAGTAGGGTGAGATATGCAGAAAACTATTACTCTTTAAAAAGTCCTTTTAAAGTTTTAATTACATGTATACGTGTGTGTGTGGGTATATGCATATGAGTACGATATCTGTGAGGGCCAGGAGAAGGCACTGGGTTCCCTGGAGATGGAAGAGTTGTGAATTGTCTGAAGTATTTGGGAACCGAAGGTGGGTCCGCTGGAAGAGCAGCATAAACTCTTTTAAATATTGAGCCACTCCATAAATGCTTCTGTTTAAAATAAATAAATAAATAAATAAATAAATAAATAAATAAATAAATAAATAAATCTGAGTAGGTGGCAGTAGAAATGACAGGGGCTACTGCAACCACAGTTTGACATCACTGCCTCCATTTGTGTTTAGATGCCAATGGCCCTATCACCACTGCAGTGTAAATGACAGAAAGGTGAAAACAAGTGCTTTTGTTTTACTATAGTAATGGGCCAGTGAGAGTTGGTAGGGAAAGTTAATTGCTGTGCAACTCTGATAGCCTAACTTTCACTCTTGGAGTCCATGAAAAGGTGGAAGGAGAGAAACGACTCCAGAGTTCTCCGCTGATTCAAGACACAAAAGAACAATTTATATAAAAAAAAACCCCACAAAACAACAAAACCGAAACCACAGTCATGACCTCCCCGTCCCCTGAGGACTCAGGCCTGTGACTACTGCTATCCCATATAACAGCATTACTTTTCACTATCTGCATGCCTACTCCTTTCCAACTTTACCTTGCAAGCAACAGAAACCCAGTCCTGCCTTCTATACCTCATTATCTCAAACTTCCCCGTCTTAGTCGATACAAAAATCACCCAGTATGTGGCTCAGTCCACAGATACGGTCAACCCTGACTCTCCCGTTTCCTCACCTCACAGCCACCTGCTGGAAGCACCTAAACTCACCCGCTCCATCTACACACTCACACACTGTGTCAGATCTCACAACTGACAATCTTCCAATTTTTTTTTTCTTTCCTGCTTCCACTCTGTCCAATATAGTTCCCACTCAGGGAACCACCAGCAACCAATGGCTTTTATAAAGTAAGATGAAAGTAACTACTATCCACCCCTACAAAACCTAGTGATTCGCCTCTGGTCAATAATAAAATTCAAACTCCTACGGCCAACAAAGGCCTAACCACTGCCATCCAACTATTTATCTGACACAATCCCCAACAACTCTAGCCCCATGCTTGCTACTGCCACACCTGCAATCCATCTCTCATGGTGAAGCTCGGGGCCTTGGCTTCTGTTTCATCTACTGAGGGAGCCCTTATATTTTGCTTCGCTAACCCTCCCACTCTATTTAAAGTAAGGCTTTTCTCCTTCCTACTACGTTACATTGTGGTGCTTATCTCCCCCTTCCCCCCAAACATCTTCCACTGGAGTGTAACCTCCACCTCTTAGGACAGTTAAGTGAATTCCGTATGTTTGTTTTTGTTTGGTTTTTGCAGAACTGGGGATTGAACCCGGGGTCTCTCCTATGCCGGGCAATCACTCCACCAATGAAGCCATAGCCTCAGCTATATTCAGTAATTCTACTAAATGGATGGATGGCCTAGCATCCCAGCTGTCACCACGGAGAATAGATTCCAACCGTGTAATAGAACGCAGAGGGGAACTGGAGTCACATGACGGGTCAGAGTTTGAACTTGCCGGGTGGTTCAGTTAAATGAGCCTTTCTGCTTGGGTTGGGGGACCATAATCTCAGAACGTCTGAGTTTTCGGCATGGGGGGTGGGAGTGGGGGAGAGAGCTGCAGTGCCGAACCCATGACGGCCACATACGTGGTCGCTCTCTAACGTAAAGCGAGGTTCAAATGCTAACCTGCCAGGTCCCTCCGGAGTAGAGTGGGTCAGCGGGCAACAGCTGCAAAGGGAGGCCGAGGTGGAAAGCAGGATGCTACGCCGGCCGCTCTGAGCAGCGGGCGTCCCTCACCGGAGACCGGCAACGAGCACCAGACCCCGACCCCTCCTTCAATCACGTAGGACAGCGGCCTCCAGCCGCCTCCCTGCCCGGTGGGATGTCACCAAACACTCACTCACCTGGTAGGGCGCACCATGGTGCCCCTCCACAGCTTACAGCTGCAGCGTTCTGCAGACGGAGAGCAGCTTTGGCGGTTTCAGTTCCCGCCCAAAGCCAGACGTCTCCCTCCACGCCCCGATCCTCCAGCCCACCAATCATCGCTCGCCGGCCTAAGGCGACGCCTGCGTGCTGAGACCAGCGAGCCTGCGCTCACACACCTTGGCCCTGGACACGCCATTCCGGATCCTGTCCGCCCGGACCCAGTGCTTGTTTTGTTTTTGCACTTTCGTCACCTGGGAGATTATTGTTATTTATTTAATTTTTTTTGCAGCGATTCTAAAATACAATATAAAAGCAGTAACACGCCTCCAGCTCTTAGAGCGACTCACTTAAAGATGAGTGGTATAAAGAGGCTGTTGGATCTGAGATTTCCTTGGGGGTTGAGGGAAAAGAAACAGATGGTAACGAATCTGCCAAAGCGAGTAAAACTGTAAAAAAAAAATAATAAATAAATAAACAAGCAAGCAGTCACCTGACATACCGGGCGGGTCTGCGTTGACAGCGCCTAGTGTGCCTTGGCTTCTGAGGAAAGAGGTGAGCTCGAGCCCACCGCGAGGAAGCCCTTTCAGAGTGGAGGTCCCAGTGAGGGTACCTGGTACAGGTTAAAGAACCGGAGCAGGCCTCATGGGGCCTATCTAAAGTGCGGGGATGCAGCTTGGCATTGACAGTTTTGTGGACAGCTGAGTTTGTAGGTTCGCGTGTTGGTGTGGCAGCGGGGTGGGCACACCCAGAGAAGAATCTGGAGATGTAAACTGGGTTAAGATGAATTTTATTTTGAAAGCAATAGGCCTCACGAGCAAAAGAATAACATGAAGATGTGTGTTTATTGATCTTGTTTTGTTACATGCATATCATGGAGTTTTGGGGTTTTTGTTTGTTTGTTTGTTTGTTTTCCGAGACAGTTTCTCGATGTACCCTTGGCTGTCCTGGACTCGCTTTGTGGACCAGGCTGGCCTCGAAGGCTCAGCGATCCGCCTGCCTCTGCCTCTCTGAGTGCTGGAATTAAAGGCGTACGCCACCATGTCTGGTCATAATAATTCTTACTACTCTCTCCCTCACCTTCTCATATCTCCCTCCCATCCCTACGAAGTTCTCCAATCCCCGCATCCCTACCAGATTCCCCTTTCCAGATTCATGACTTTCGGTTTTTGTTTGTGATGCATTGACTTAACCAGACCAGCTGTGTGAGCTGCAGCTACTATTTGGAGCCTGGTGGGGGCAGCAGTGAATACACGAGTGAAAAACGATGATTTCCCTTTCCCCGAATCTGTCCACAGAAAACTGTTCATTAGTGAGACATGGGTCCCTGAATCTCTCCTCTGCGCCCTCCGCTGTTGATGGGGCCATTCTTATGCAGACCCAGTGCCGACTTCTTAAACTGCATTGAGTTTATGGCTGCAATGGCAGTGTCTTGTCCAGAAGATGGCATTTTGTCATCCTCCCTATCTGGTTCCTGTGTTTTTTCCACTCCCTCTTCTGCAGTGTTCTTTAAGCCTTCAAAGAGATAGTATGAATGTCATCCATCACTGGATCCACTACTGGAAAGAGACACTTCTCTGATTGAGCTGAGAGTTGCACTTGTTTGTGGGTATAAACATATGTGTTTAGAAGATGGTTAACGCTGTCAATTTAACCGAACAGCAATATTTAGGTTCCTCTTGGGGCCTGTGATCTTCCTTGCCTTGGGTATTTAACCAGGATTACAGCACCAGGAAGAGATAATCAGAGCAAATTTGGTACCCTGACAACAGTACGCTAGTTCGTGCACAGGTGGGTGCGCCTTACCTGGCAGGCTATTACGGCTCACGGAGTCCGCAGCTGGGTTAGACCGTTTGTGACATTTCTACCACAGCAGCCTGCACGGTATCTTCCAGGACTAGAAAAGCTGCCAGTAGAGAGGGAACTTCCAGCTGAGTTGCTGCTTGATTTTTTTTTTTTTATCGTCAACTGAGCTGTGCAGTGTCTTTAGCAATAGAGTTTATCATCTAGTTTTTGTGGATAACCAAGAATGATGACAAAACTCTGTATTGTTTTGGGGCTTCAAATGTATATATACACGAACAATACAGATTCATATATATGTATATGTGATTTTTTTTTTTTAACTAAAAAGAAAGATCACTATGCTTTAGGTCCTAGCAATGGGAAGTCCAGTTAGGAGGCTGATGAATAGATCTTTAAGGGAAGTAGATTCCTAATCTCTTTATTACATTTTCTTTTCTCTGAATAGTGTCCAGTTTGCCTCGTGGCCAGCATCCTGTATGCTCCGTTCTATATATCCTACTTAGAGATCATTCTTATGTCCTCGTATCGTTTTCTAATCACGGCTCATGACCACAGTGCCCGACATCTTCAGGCTACCACTGGCTCTCTGTTGTGTTTGGCTGCTTTGCAAGTCCCATAAGCTCTATGCTTGTATCCCTCCCCCATCTCTTCCTATGTTTCCTCTTGCCCTCATCTCTGTTCCTTCCATTGTATTAAGTAATTTTTATTCCTGTCTAGGAATAAAAGTACTTTCTCAGCACATTGTTTCCCTTTAAGATTAATGTGCAGGAATAAGTGGGACAAACTAGAGAAGGCTGGCTGTGGTGGTGCGCACTTGTAATCCCAGCCCTTGGGGGTGAGGTGTGCTGAGGCAGGAAGATTAAGTGTTGAGGTCAGCCTGACTACGTAGTGAGTCCTAAGCCATCCTTGGCTACACAGCGAGACCCTGTCTCAAATAAAATGGAAGTGAATAAAGATTGGAGTAGTTCATTAAGAATGGCATGGGCACAGCCTCTGTAACAGGCTGTGTTTTAGAGGTGTTCGGTGGTCATTTGAGTCGCGGCTTTTTGTTCATCTTCCAGAAATCCTGCTGTAGAATATGAAGAAAAACCGAGACAGACTCTGCAACAAGGAAAGAGAGTTTGTATACAAATTCAGGGTAGGAAATGAGCGCTTAGAGCTGAGAGTGCCCCTCAAGTTTCCTGTGGACGAGAATGCCAGCCACTTGCATGGCCGTCTGATGCTGCTGCACAATTTGCCCTGCTTCATAGAGAATGGTGAGGACTGATTTTCTTGTGGTTTTCTCTAGTCTCTGTCATTAGAAATTTCTTGGTAGAACACAGGTTCTTGAACTTGGGATGTGACCCGTGGGATTGCACAACTGAAAGTTAGGATCATGAAAACTGTGGCAACAGGAGAAGGCTTTCAGCGCGAGTGACCAAAAATTAATTCAAAGTCAGCTGCATGGTAGGTGCGGAGTTCAGGCAGTACATGCACTTTGTACTGCTCATGCCGCCAGGCTGTGATGCCCAGTGAGTGCTGCCCAAAGCCTCCTGACTTTGAGGTCCTCTCTTAGATGACTGACTTGTGTCAAGTTGGCAAACAAAACAACAAAAACAACAAGAAAACCCAGGAGCCTATGTCTCTGAGTCATGTTAAACTTTCTGTAGTGAAAAGATCTGTGACTATAAAAGATTTAAGAAACCCTGTAGCCCTGTCTAGAATATCAACCCCAAGAGCAATAGAAGTGAGAAACATGAGTTAAGCTTCTAAGAAGAAAAACTGTTCTCCAGAAGTTTTGAAACTTTTGTTTGTACTATAGTTGTTTATAAAATAACTTAGCATCTGAATTAAATGGCATAATAAAAAATTAACCACAGCACTTAAGCTCTGAGTTTGGATGCTGGATTCACCAGGGGTCTCAGCATCCCCTACATGGTGGAGAGTCAGCACTGAGTTGATCTCTTTTTTCGTTTGCTCATTGGTTTTTGAGGTGTCAGGGAACAGAAGGAGCACTTTACCTTTGCCTGATTTCTTTCATAGTCATCTGCTTTAAGTTATTTTGAAAGGGCCATGTTCTTTTTCACAAACTGAGGGGACTTGGATTATTGTTGGAACAGGGACTGTGAATGAAGCTGTGTGAGGAGATCTCTGAGATCTTATAAGAAAACTCCAACTGTGACCTCAGTTTTTTCAAAATATGAAATTGTTCTTGGAGTGTGGTTTTGTGTTCCTCCCAGGTGTAGATGGATAGGAGTGAGTGCTTCAGCTGCTGTTATTCGTGTGCCTCTATGGTAAAGTATCTTTTTGCTTGTCCTTGTATTATATATTTAGGTGACTCTTCCTAACCCTCAGAGTATAAATTGTCTGATGCTCTGAATAAAGTTGGCTATTGCATGTGACTTTAGTCCACTTTCTTTTTAGGCTCCGTTCTCCCAGGTTCATGCCACCAACTATATACAGGTTATAAGGGAAAATAGAAGCATTCTAGCACCGTCATATTGTATAAATCAGGAATCAAGACACAGAAAGGGCAAGTACTTACCTCATCGGCAGTTCTTAATACGTTGTCCCTTTCCAGACAAACAAATCCCTGGGAACTTGTTAGAAATATGAATTCTACTTCTTAAAATTTTTAAAGATTCTGTATTTATTCATTTCGTTTGTATGCCCCTCTGTGTGTGTACATATGCATACTAAGGCACACATGTGGCAGGCAGAAAGCAACTTTCAGGAGACTCAGCTCTCTCCTCCCACCTTGTGGGTCATATGGATCAGAGGTAAAATCAGACCTCACGTCGGAGTGCTTCCCTGCTGTGTGCACGTCTTGCTGAAACTAGCATCCTTTGTCCCTCTTACAGACTTAAAAGAAGCTCTGAGCCGGTTTATAGAAGAAGAATCCCTCAGAGACCATGACAGAGATGCAGAAGCTTGCTTGGAGGCTGTTAAATCTGGGGAAATAGATCTGCACCAGCTGGCAAGTACATGGGCCAAAGCGTATGCTGAGGTAAGACAAAGGTCAGCCTGGGCTTCAGGGTGTGCCAGACTTTATGAAGGTGTTTTAATTGTTGAAGTCACATGAAACAAAGTGTAGAATCCATTTATTTATTTGTTTGTTTGTTTTGCAAACCAGTAATATACAGCATATGCTCTTGCTTCTGTGTTTCTCTTCTATGTCAATATGAGCTCCTAAGACAAAGTCTTTTTATGACATTTTTATTTGGTGTGCTCACGTGCTTGTGTGTGTATGTGGTGTATGTGCATGCACACGTGTGTTGCTCATGCCACCAAGTGCTTGTGG